ACTTCATTTTTTTAATTTATTTAATTTAAATTCATGCCTGAAATTAGTTACGTATATAGTAGATCAGTCTTACCTGGCAATAATTCAAAACTACAGGAAATACAGTAAGCCATGCCTTGGAAACGTTTTGGGGGGTCATTGTTTTAAAAAAATCCTACAGTGACACGCAGGTCGATCTCAATAAATTGCTTATAATAAATAGCTTTTGAAAGAAGGATAAGATTTCTCATTTTATCTTAAATGAACTGCATCTGTACTCAATTACAGCCGTCAATAAAATAATTTAGTAATTTAGTAAAGTCATTTAGTAAAGTCAAATTTCCTTATTTTGTAATTTATCAATTGTTATCCTTTACAGCATTCAAGTTAAAGTAATTAGTCATGTTACATAAAGTGTGCGCAGGTGACTGAAATACGTATTCCAAATAGATGCACACTGCTTTCACAATGGCGAAAGGCTGCTGACCTGTTTCAAGTCTTCTAAAGGCCACCTACGTAATTATGTTTTTTCCCGTTTAAGACATAATGAAAGTTGTATTCTTTTTCATTATAAACACCCCAGGTGATGAAATAATACATAACGTTTTTTTTATTTGCAGAAAAAAAAACGCGCTTAAACTAAAAAAACTCACTCAAACCCAATTAATTAACCTTACTTTATGGTATAGAAACAATAAAGGTGCAAAACAAACCGTAAACTTAAATTGGTATTGCACAGCATCATAAAGAGTTCAGACTACACTTTTTCAAAAAAGCAAAAGGTACAAACGGCGAAAAAAGATAGTATAAATGTAGAGCTCTTTTCTATTCATTTTAACATAGAATCTTTCTGTAGGCAACACAGCTTGTTAACAAGGTTTTGATTTTCTTTAGTACTGTATTTACCGTTGCTTTATAGTGCGTCTTTCATTGTCAAGCCTACATGGTAACTAACTGATCATACAGTTCTATTACTATTAACATCGATATTTCTGCAAAAAAATGTAAATTGCCTTAATGTCAATTAAGGCAAGAAAAGGGCAGCTTTGAGACATACAGTACAGTCAACAATTTTCGACGGATTATTATTTAGTTTATTATTTTTGGGCAGTTTCTATACATACGTACCGGTATAATCACTTAATGGTGTTTTAATGTCCAATAAGCTATTTTAATTATCTTATTGGCCTCTGGAATTTCAATCTTTTGGAGGATTGGAAACTGAAAACATGATAAATTAATGCTTTCGTAAAATCAGTTCTGGCTATGAAAGAGTTCCAGTATATCCGATATGTGAAATTATATTTACGAAACATTTTCACCAACACATTTGTAATATCCGGATCACGGATACTTCAAGACTCAAAATCGACATAGTACTGCAATGTTAAACGGAGGCCTCTTGGCTTCTTTCGCCATAAACTGTTTTATCTTAAATATAACGGTAACACTGGGAAAATGTAATGTACTAATTCGTGTTCTTGTTCGTGTTTTCATGCAAATGTTGAAACAAATGATGATGACCATGCTAAATCAGAGAGCCCCTCGGATTTCAACTGTGATTCGATATTACAAATCCTTAAATCGTAGTCCATTAATTTAATGTATTTAATGCTGAAAGGTGATAAGGTTCACCTCCAGCAAGCAGGTACTGGTTATATGTAATTGTATTACCCTTGTTTTAAAACTAATCTCGCCACTGGTACAATTATTCCCTTCTTCATATTCCCACTGACACCGTCTTTTAAACTACAAATAATGCAAAATGAATTAACAAATACAACGGAGTCTACACAAAAATATAGACTAATCAGAAATGTTCTTTTAATGTTATTTTTCATTAAACTGTATCATTATACCTCTGGAGTGCCGGGGCCTGTCTCAGTAAGGACTACATAAATACAGAGGAACACGGAATGCAAATAAGTAATCATCTGAAAACATATTGCAATAGTTCCAAATCTTTAATAAATTCTAAATTGAGAATGCATACTGGACAAACATTTATGGCAGTTATGGAATATGCACAGTATTTATGATAAACTTTCTGTATGACTTCTCATATCACAGAACAGCAACCCCCCAGAAACAAATCGGAGATTTGTTAAATCCCCTAGGAAAAGTGCAAAAATACACCTCAACTCTTGTTTCCGTCTGATATCGTCACACATCAGATGCCGTGTAGCAGCAGGAGGAATGGCGATTTAATCTGTCATAGATAAATAATAAAATAGGCTTTCACAAAAATATCGACAACAGAAGTGTCGTCTGGCCTCGTGCAAGTTTATTAGACGTTCCTCTGGAGCTTAGGAAGAAACCAAACCGTTTTCAATTTATGAACCCTAGACGTAAATTTCAGGGCCACAGATATTGCGCAAATATCAAATTCAGAAATGCTATCTCAACGCATAGCTTTAACTAGTATACAAAGAAAAATATCTTCATCCGATATTAGTCCCACTGTTGGCAAATATTGAAATATTATTATTTATTTTGCTTAATCGCGAGAAGGCAAAATGCGTTGCTGATCCTAAATGCTCCAAATTAACTGCTAAATATAATTTATGTTGCATCTCAAACGTCATGCATTTTGAAATTGATGTAAGAACATATATAGGCCTTAAAATAATGCTTTGTGAATTCCGTACGACTACAAGTGTATATACATACGATGTTACACACACAAAATATATGTATTTAATTTATATTTGTAGGGCCTGTATAAGTAAAGTAAAAACGCACTATTAGCTGTAAGTTTTATTAAAATAGTTGCATTAAAATGTTAATTCTTACCTTTGGTTTACATTTTGGATCTGTGCTAGGAATAGGTGAACGTAACTTCTGGTCAGTGTGTTTTGCGATTAATGTCCCCTTCGTTCCAAATTCGTTTCCTTGGCGGCTTCTCCGCAAAAATGTTTATTGGGATGTGTATTGAGACCCAGACGGCGTTGTTTGTTCGCATTAAGAGGAGTTTCCTTTGTCAGCCATTATTTCTCCGCATTTCAACAGGCACCAATAAGAGCAGACACTGGTAAAATATCGTAATTTATGGTCTAAGCTTTAAAAATGGGCGATTTTCAAGAAGAAATTTTAGAACACATAAATTCTTCCCTTTTAACGGTAGTGTTTAAACTACGATCAGTGCCGTATGCTACATATCGCACAGGAGTGATTTACAGCAAAACATTTTGAACCACTGAAAGTTTGCAGAAGACTGCAAAAAGTATTTTTTTGTTGTTTATGAATCGAAACACGTAAAACTAAAGATCTTTTATTTTTGCCAAATTGTTATTTTTGTGTCGCTTTCACCGTCTATGCGAATCGCATCGAGATCTTCGAGGTCTATTGTTTTGGGACTAAAACAGGATGCACATTCGGTAATCGACGATTTCCAAAATTAATATTTAATGGTATATATTTAAATATGAGTTAAACAATGATGTCCTAAGAGACCACAATAAATTTATGCTTGTCAAAGATCTAAAATAGCCCAAGGTAATTCAAGGTATATTTTGATACTGATAAAAAATAACTTGCAATTTCCATGTAAATTGTTACGAAGTTCCAATTTACCGAAAAAGTGAAACGTAGGAAACCAGTCAGAACTATGATATAAAAAAACAAAGGTCACCTGTAACATTAGCAATTAAAATAACATAAAGCGCAGGTCCTAATTCCTTTTAATAGTCAAATAAGTGGATTTCATCGTTTCATACGCAAAATACACCATCACATATAGACTATTAAATTATTCTAATTATTGGCATTGTGAGTCAATGCTAGACAACACGGTTCCTGACTTCCCGTTTCATCTGTGTTGTAACCCCGAATTCAACTTTTCTAAGTCACGAGATGAGATGAATGAACCCGCCTCCACGGTTCCTCTACCAAATACCTTTGAATGTTTGTTTGGACAAACTTTTGAATGATATTTTCTTTTCGTTTGCGTTGTTTTCGTTTTCATATAATCTCCCTGTCTGTATCTAATGACTAAAAAAATCACACACTGGACAGACACAAACATGTCAGTCGAAAGCCAATGCCAAAAAAGAAACTATTCTTAGTGTTAATAACCATAGCTGTGGGTAATTTCCATGAGTTATTAAGATTGTAAAAATGATCTTTGAAATGTTAACTGGCACTATAAAGATGACGTTTTATCTAAAAAACTGTCTAAAAATTAGTTGCGGACCAAACTGACAAGCCAATTGGACGCTTTTAAGTTTTTCCGAATCACTCCGTGATTCGGAAAAAAGATGTCACAGATATCTTAGCTGCCGTAGAACAATTTGAAGTAGTTATTTTCTGCTTTATCTAAGCATTTCCCTTTAATAATACATTTAGCCTAATGCATTTCAGCATTCTTTGCAAAGTGTCTTATCTTTAAAGTATTTAATAGGAAATATAATACGGTTTAGTGAAATTGCTCACTACATTTATGTGCAGAATTATCTGTTTCATGATAATGATGAAGAAGTAAAGGAGGGCAGCGACAGCACTGTGTCTCGTTTAGAATTTGCCATCTCCAATGTTTTCGTGTGCAAACAAGTTTTACCTTGGATAACTAATAGATCAGAATAATTAATATGTTAACATGAGTGCTTGACCTCGCTCAAATGAACACGTTGGTGCGGAATTCCCAAGCCTAACCTTTGAACCCTTCTGCGCAGCAAAATATATTATTGAAGTTTATTTGCAATACCTTTTACGTACATCGCAATAATAATAATAAAAGACGTTTCCATTAGTATTTTTCTGTTATAATTCAAGCTGAGACTATAAGCAGTATAACTTGAAGTAAGATATAGTATTACTCTTATAATTAAAAGCAATGACATTCTTCGCCTTCACAGCCTATTTTTAAAAAGCCCAGCTTTTTAGTTCGGAGCTGGAGTTCGGAATTAAAGCACGTTTCGGCGTAGTTTCACTTGTTACCTGTTAAGGCTGAGATTCCAGTTACAGAGCATTAGCGTACTGCTGTAAATGTTAAAATAATTCAAACAACAGCGTAAAGAATAATAACGTTACAATAGATTTACTCCCATTAAATAAAACACAATATTTTATTATTTTTGGTGTTCAAAAACGAAACAAAAATCGGTACCAAATATTATACACAAGGCAAAATTCTATTTCGCAGGAACATTGGGTTGCGTTTTATAACCAGGGTTGCTACTCTAAAACCGATAGTCACACAGACATTTAATATTATTATAATATGTTAGAAACATACAACTGGTGCATTTAGTATATACATTCCCTTATTTGCAAGCAAAACATTATTCCTTTACGTTGTCCACATGCTCTGTTTAACTGAACTTTGAAAACATTGTTAAGATAGCATTAGCTTTTATAAAATTATTTTGACATTTCGATATATGTACATCCTTTCAATCACTTACTGTCCAAAACTCTAATCTTTAAAATAACAAGTTTATAAAATAAAGTATCCAGTCGAATTCTGTACTCACACTCGAGGAACAAACATACTTAATGGAGAATGCCTAATTAGTTCCAATTAAATTAGAAACTCCATTGCGGCTTTAGCCCATCTGAGTGGTTTAGTCTGTAGTGCCATTTTAAAAGAAAAAAAAAGTCATTTTGTAGAGTCTTTCGTTCTCATCAATCGGTCTGGGAATTCTTCTAGTTTTACACTGGTCTATCCACAGCGTATTGGCAAGCACTCAGATTAGAAGCTGGATTCTGAACACTGGCGTATCCGAAACTTGAATGCTGCTTAGCTTTAAGTCTCAGGCTGGCCAAACTGGAGTTACAAGTGTCCCTGTACACATAAGGAGGGGTTGGAGGGGCGTAAGGGCAAGCCGGGGTTGGAACTCCAGAATTCAGAGAGGGGTTGCTGAGGTTGTTCAAGTTATTGAGACTGTTGAGACCGGAGCCAGGCACGCCAGTAACAGCGGAGGGCACCATGCTGGAGGACATGCTCATGGAAGAGATGGAGTTCGGTGGAGAGAACATAGTCTGAGAAGAAAGCGGATTGACATTCATGGAATTGAAGAAAGGAAAACTTTTGGTAGAGAGGGAAGCCGACGTGAGACCCTTGGCGGCCCAGTTATTATATGTGTAGCTGGGGTACATGTCATCATAGGGCTGCATCAGTCCGTTGAACTGAGGACCAAAGCCGTTCTTGCAAAGTTCCGCTTGTTGGTTCCTTTCCCTTTTTCTCCACTTTGCCCGTCGGTTCTTGAACCATACCTGAATAAATTAAATTAAGTAATCAATTAATAACAAATCATACAACTTCGTTGATTTAATTAAATGATTGTTAAATCCAAACGCAGTAATAAATATGAGCTTAAAAACGTATTCGCTTTTCAGTTGGCCTCAATCACATGAAATATGTTTTGTTTTTCTAAACAAGGTTTAACGAATAATCATTTTCATTAAGAGCTTAATTAATTAATTAGAACATGCAAACATGTTTAGTGAAAAGCAGTGCACCATTATATGTATATGCTTTGTATTAATGAAATTGTACCTCCTAAATAAACCACAAAACAAATTTCAATTTAGACATGCATATACTATATACAGAGAGAAAACGTTTATTGTAATATTATATATTGAAGACGTCCATTATAAGGTTTATCCCCATAACAAAAAGCCAGGACAGTCATTTTCACCTTGTTTTGATTTTATTTATTAGTACCATTCTAAAACAAACCCTATGGTGTTCTTCGCAGCTAGTTTTGTTAGTTTCCAAGGCGTTAATGAGGATCTAATTACGCGTCTTATCCCGTCCAAGAAACAATCTCATTTCGTTCTACAGGAATGCGAATACACATCCTTCTGTCTGAACTGTCACTCGGATATCGTCCTGCGAGTTCTCAGGATGTGTATTCCTTTGTTGCCCGAGACATTCATGTTAGCTTGAAAGATAGGCTACTTTAAACGCCGATAGTCACAAAATAAATCCATTGTACCTGCGTCACTGTTAACTGATAACAAAATTTAAATCAGTCACCGAGTCATAAATGGTATTTCAAATTAAGTCTGGCCCTTGATCATTTATATATTTAGCATATTATAAATAGTATATAATTATGCACGAATTGCATCATTAATCCTCAAAGTAATTTAGTAAATTTAATCTATTATGAATTTCGATAAAAACCATGACTATACGTTCCTGTGTAAAATTTTGACTTTTCATTTTCATTTTTTATTAGACAGTTTGTTTTTAATTACACGTATTCCGCAATTCTGTGTGTGTACAAGTATATACATATGTCTTTCATGTCAAGCAATTACTCTAAAAATCAACTGTACATTCTTACAATAAATTGTATAAGCTTCGTGACAATTCCATACAGAAGTATGCCCTAAAATTTATAGTACACAGCTGAACAATACAAGTCGTAAATAAAACTTATAAATTTAATTAATCGATGTCATATCGATAAATATAGAATAGGTATTTTAAGCATACAATATATATGATACGTATAATTGAAGCGGAACATAACATTGTAACTGTTTCCTAACTATAGATTCTACAACTTTTGTAAATAAAAGGACAAATAAGATGATTCCTTACGTTTTAATTCAAGATGCAAAAAAATATAAATTAACATACATTCACTAGTTAAGTCATACACTGAAAATTTCAATTAGCTGTTTCCAAGAACCAGAACCTCACAGCAAATGAGATGCTTTTAAATGAAACCAGATTAGAATGTTTAATATCCTTTTGTTTCACGTACCCTGACTCGTGCTTCTGTGAGATTGGTCCAGACAGCGATTTCCTCTCTGGTTGACATATCTGGATACCGATTTCGCTGAAACGTGGCCTCCAGTTCTTGTAGCTGCTGACTAGTAAAATGAGTCCTCTGCCGTCGCTGTCTTTTCTTTTTTGAAGGATCATCCGAAGCGTCATCGTTTTTACTCTGGCTTTTTTCTTTATCTGTAATAATAATAATAATAATAATAATAATAATAATAATAATAATAATAATAATAATAATAATAATAATAATAACCACTACTGAAATCGAATTTGTAAGTGGTGAATAAACTACCATTTTTCATTCATTCATAAAACCTTACTACAAACTAACAAAATGTAAATTTACTTCAAGGAGAAAAGAAAGCAGAAGGCAGTCTTTAATCGTGAGAAGAAAAGTTATCAAGACAAAATTAAATGAAAAAGGACCACAATGTTTTTTTTCACCTAATGATTTTAATAGAATAAAAATAGAATTTTCTTGATTTGTACACGAAAACGGAAGCGATACGTGTATTCATTATATGCACACTTTTTGTGATATTATTGTTCATGTCAATCATTACCATTTTTCTTGGGCTTGTTTAAAATAATATTCAGAACGGTCACTGTCATTGAAACAAATGTCTTAAACAATTACTCACTGCATCAAGGACATATAAAAGAACGCAAATGCATTACGCGTTTGTGTGCGACAAAATATGTAAGATGTGAAATGTTTAAAGTAAACTGTTCAACAGTATTTAACAAAATAGTGATAAAAAACAAATAGTTTTCTAATAGAATCAAGGTTTTTTTTACACAACCATTATCAACCAAATGAAAAGTGATCTTTATAAAATGCATATACTTATTTTATTAAAATAGATACAACCGAGACTAACAAACACTTAAAGCGCCTGACCCACTTCTGAACTGAAGCACAAAAGACAAACTACTTCCTCAGTCTTCAATCAGAAAAGGTGAAGGCGCTAGGAGGCGTCTATTTTAAACCAGCAGAAAGATGCAGCACTCAACTTCATTAGGAAAACAACAACAGAAAACAGTCTAACGCAAAATCTTACCTACAGATTCCGGACTGGAGGTGTCTGACACAGTGTGTACCTCCAGTCGGTGTTTGGATTCTACAGAGCGCTGCAAAGGTTGCAGACTAGAAGCCATAGTTAATGTTGTTTGGTGTGGAGAAATTAGTTTATTCCCGGATAGATGGTCCAAATTCAATGGATCCTTCATAGAGTTCATCGATAGGCGAGAGAAAGATTCGGTGTTTCAAACAGATTAAGTTCCTTAGCGCCACCAAAGCGTCCGACGGGAAGAAAAGGAGAAAATCTGTGGTATCAAGATTTACGCGGTGCAGCCCCTCCAATAAATAACTTGAACAGCTCTACTTAAACGGCTTAAGATGTCTTAAAATAAAGCCCTACCAGTATTATCAGTATCAGAAGGAAATAAAGATTTTTGGAGGGAGCTGAGGCAAATAAAAATATCCTGGCTGACACTGTTAGTGGCAGTAGTGTCAGAGTGACAGGGACAGGTAGATGATATAAAATCCACAGGCACACACTAATGCGCTGTTCATTTCAGCTGTTCCCAGTTCCCCTTCAGTTGATCGGAGCCACTTTTCTAGGCTTTGACGTCACTAAAGGCCTCCCACTCTTTGACAGACTGTCAAATTCAGAAAAGACTCATCTTCCAGCCAACCGGTGAGCGGGAACTCGGGGGATAACGACAGCCAGTTGCCAATGACTTTCAATAGGGCTGAGCTTATTTTGTCTCTAATACAAGCCTAATAGACATGTGTAGGCAGAGAATATACACTTCCCACAATGCAACTGAAAGCCCCTTTGGAGAATCTTCAATTTTTGTTTCATGTTGAAAAACTTTAGAAATTATAGAAGTAGTAAGCATCAATCATATAACTGTTGGAATTGTAGCTTATTATGTGTTATCTCATGGTAACAAAACGAAAAACAGACCTATATAAAACGGAGAAATGTAACTTTATTCTATATTGTCATTTAGCATAGGAAATATATGCTCTTAAACCGCTGTCAATATGCAATGCAAATATTCATAGCAATCACATATGATTGCTATTTGTTTTTCAAAAAACTGAAAAGGGATGTTCTTCAAACTAATCTATATACAAAGCTCAGCAGTTTGTATCTGAATGTAAAATTGAAATCGTGTCTATTAGAGGGTTTATTTCAGTCAAGATGTTACAGTGGGTGATGCAGACTTACCTAAAATAACGATTTTTTAGGGTCTGAAAAAGTTAATCTTAAGGTTTATTAAGAAGACAGAACCAGTACAGTCTGGGACAGAAGGACAGATTAACTGAGATACCTGTAGCCTTTGGATTTTATACATTTTATACGTCATTGTGTTATTTTTTAAACAACAGGGCGATACAGGCGTACATCTAATTACATGTAACAACAACACAGATTTCAAAATATAAAAGAATCTACTTATTTTAAAATGCTTAGCCATTCAATAATACTAAAACTCATAATATTGTAATGATAAAGATGCTAATACCCTTAATAGATCTTTCTGATAGAAGCTTTTTTAAGGTAATTTGTAGAGAACAAAATGTTGCTCATTTCCAATGTGCTGTATTTGTCACTGTCCTTTCTTGGTGCTCTTCATTCTAATGGCGTCGCATCTTGAGTTGTAAATATTTACAAGAATACAAATGCACAGTTCGTGTGTCTTTCTGTGGTCTTTTTCACTTTTTCGTGGTTAGACTTTTTTATACTTGAGAATTCTTATTTTCCTGCTTGATTGCTTTGCATTAATCTTTCATCTAACGTATCTGTTACATTGAATTGACCGTGAAGGTGTATTTTCGTCTTGCTTAGCAAAATTGTATTTGATGGATTAACAGAAATGAATAATAAAGTTTATTTTAAACGTAAAAAGTCCGTCACGTATCTGTGTTCTGTTCTGTGATTTGACAGATATATCTAACATGACTTACCTTGGTTTTGAACTGTGATTGTCCAAAATTTAGAAATTCAAAACTTAACAACTTTAATTAATTCAGATCCTACTCATTATCTGGTGTTTAAATTACGTATTTTATCCCTGAGATTTGGCAGAGAATCTCCCCCTCAGACCCCACAGCGTTTCGATGGAGACAATGCTCTTATATTTGTAGTGCTTTCTAATCTGATAAGACTCTCATTTGCTTAAGTCTTTTAAACAGGGGGTTTAAAGGAGTTTTAGCATTTTTTCTCATTGAATTTGCTGTAATTCCCTCAAGATCATAAAGCATAAACGCAAAGTAAATATTTCCTTTCTAACATTTTAGGAGTTGACCTATAAGTCAAGAGAATCCAGCGCACTGAGCTGGCTTTAAGTGATTATATTTTACAATACTATCACCACTACTTGAATTGCTACTACCTACTTTTATAGACTGGTGTACTTTTTATAGACTGGTTAAGAGTGGCACCTTTTTTCACCTCATGACCATAATTCACGGCCTTTAAAAATCACTATTTGCTGTAGATTCATATAGGTCTACTACACAACTTAAGCCCGACATTCAAAAATAGCACAAGAATGTAACAATGTATATTAAGATAAGCTTTACAACCAAACAAAAAAAAACAACAAAAAAAATTCTTATAGGGCATTTGTCAAATTATTCTTATTCTTATTCTTATTCTTATTCTTATTCTTATTCTTATTCTTATTCTTATTGATAGCAAAGAAGAATTTGTTTAGAATATGCCCTTAGCAATTGTTATGATATTACTAAACAGCATAGGATGTTGAACAGTCAATTAAAATGTTTAAATAAATAGGCTATATTTATTGTTTTAGCTTCGAGTTTGTAGAAAAGTATGGATAAATTAAAAAATCAAACAATTAAAAAGTGAAAATAGTATATTCCTGCTGAGCTTTTCACTTATGTGTTAAGGACAACATAGGAATTCAGAATTATGCAGCAAACCCCGCATAGCTTTGAATTTCGCATTTTTAATTTTGTATTTAGATTTTACATATACCTTCAATGTTAAGTGTTTTTAACAGGCTGCATAGCCTTTGCACATACTGTATAGGTGATCTAATACTTTTTTGAAATGCTAAATCTGACATCTGCATCAGTTCATTAAGATTTTCCCAATTTCTCCCTTTAGGTCTTTGTAATAGAACCAGTCCCCATACCTCCGCTGCCTTTATTTTAGCGTTGTAAACTGCTGCGCAATTTTATACGCATGTCCTCAAACATATGGTAACTAATACGCCATTGAGCTAATCCCGCAGAAACCCTTGATATACACCTCATTTGCAGTCTTCTGGGATAGAGATACGGGTAGAGAGAGAGATTATAAAATCCAGCCTGGTATCACTACACATTTGTCTAATTTATTTATCTATGTTTTTCCATTACTACTCCAATCATTTTTTTCTTCTGTTCAAGTCAATCAGAAACTCACACTATGGTAACTCTTCATAATTTGTCATTTTTAATTGTTGTAGCTCAGAGAACTGATGACCTAAATGAATAAAATCTATGTGAACAAAAAAAAAACAGCACTATGTATTTAAATAAATATAAATATAAGTAAAATAATATTTTTTTGTTTTGTTATATGCCGTCGATTTTAATGCAATAGTTATGACACAAATTGTGCTATGTGAGCTATATTTACTGTACAGGTGTACTATATTATAGAGGAATATTGGAAGGAAACGATTTTTTCTTTAATCTAATTTTACACATTAAAGGAAAAGAAAGGAAACTCGTTTTGCTTAATCTTTCATTTTTAAAGGGTGGGTGTAAATTGATAGAATACATTATTGAATATATTAGTACTTGTTTAAAAACAGCTAAATTAAAATTCCTTAGAACTGAAACTGTAAATGTGTAGGTATACATTTCACACACAAAAAAAAACTTGAAAATGACAAATCATTAAATATTCCCATTTTTGAAGACGCATTTCTGACATCTCGAGACCGTAATTTTAGTTACTTGGTTAGTTCTTGTCGCAGCTGTACATCTGTCAAGTTCTATAAGAAATTATAAATCTCTTTTTCAAAAACTATTTACTGAGTGTATCATCTAAGGGAAACAGCAACCCGTTTAGTTGGATTAAAACTCTACCAGTTGTTTCTCTAGCACTGGGACAGCTAACACAGCATTAGTTGTCATGGTTACTGTAAATCGTGTAAATCACATAAATCCAGAAATACCCACCTATAATCTAAGATGGAGCTTTTATTTCCCTTGTGAATTATTCTTTAAAAGACAGTCATCTGACAACATCAATACTGAATTTGCTTCAACTTCTGAATGTCTAAGAGAAATGTATGTTGCGAAAGGATAAAAACACTTTTTTAACTATGAAAATGACACAGTGTTATATATATAGCCGAACAATAAAAAGTCAGGTATGTAAAGGTGACAAGCAACTGAATGACGAATCAGAGGAAACGTGCTGATTCGGGAAATCGCAATACATCCGAGCAATCCTGGACCTTACCCTTTTTATTTTGCCTTTAGCTTGATTTCTTTCTCTATTCTGGATTACTGGGTATTCTCCACGATGAAGAGCCATTAATTACCCATTCAGTCAATATTAGGAAGACGACAAAGCTTTTTACATAGGATTAAGAAGACATCAAATTGTTCCATTAGTATATGCCTCCTCACGAATAAGCTTTCATTATACATTTAGTTTTCCCTGGAGTCAATCTAACAACTGCTGCATATATTATACACGCGGTGGAAAATAGATCGACAATAAGCAAGCAACTCACTTAGGTTTTTCTATACTCGGATGTTTGTTTTGTTCCTGGTTCATAGGAGGACATTATTTAATCTGCCTATCTTCCATTAAAGATTTTCGAACATTTCGAAACAATCTTGAAGGTAAACATTTCGTTCTGTTAAGATTACAGGAGAATTCTGCTTAAACAGAAAAAAAAAACCCGAAAGTTTCCATCTTCTGGTGTTCACACAACTCCATGATCTTCAACAAACCAAAGATTAAAGGCTGATGAATATTTGCGTGAAAGCATCAATAAACTTTAAGAAATCTACATTTGCAAAATTGTATGACTTCTAAAATCAAATTCAATTTGACATCATAAAACATATCCATGTGTTGCGAGTGCCTGCTGAACGAACGTCATGACTCTAGAGAGTGTTTCTTCTAGTATTCTGACCAGTATTCTGTTTAGTTTTCGGAAAGAAGTCACCAGATAGGTCTTTTGAAAAGTTTTGCAGAAACGTTATGTACAGTATTAGAAAACAAAACATGTTAAGTGGGACAGGAAGTCCGATTACACCAAAGACCTAAAAAAACATTAGACTTCTTATTTTCCGTATTATTATTATAGATTTGATTTCCTTTGCAGAAAGTACGCATCTACGCTCCGTGACTCATAAAGGTGAGATAAATATATTCAGAAGCGTTGTCATTTGATTTTCGTGTCTATAAATTGCCAGTAGTATTCTTCAAATTTATATTTAAATTGCCCCTTTTATACATATCCTTTTATTTCTTTCTCATTTTGTTTCCAGGCATAGTTTAGGTTAAAACGTAGTCTGAAATATGATTACATATATAGTTTCAAACGTTGCATATAATTTTATTGTTTTTAATGAATTGCCGCGTTCTGAAAATAAGACTTATTTTACTTATTCGTTTATTTACATCTTTGTATGTTTAGGCGCTTTGAATTCGACATAAGGCTACGTTCCTAAATTGTCTTATTAAATAATAAAATCCATCAAATAAATTGCATTTATCCAAAATTTATCCAAAAAAGGATCCAAAATCTCGATAAAGATTGAATCAAAAGTATTCCAAAGTAACAATGAACTGATATAATCAAATATAGATGTATCTCTGCATCTAGAAAATGATTACAAAAGCACCCATCTTTTTGAATGCATTTAAATGCACTTAGAAAATGAAAAATAATCAGTATAGAGGAGAAGTTCTGCTACAAAGATACAATCAGGGGGTAAGCATGCATCTCTGTTTCCTACCAGTAGGGGTCATTGTAATACAATTTTAAACGTATTAAGTATACCCCCTAACTTCAGATGAAAGGTTTGCAGTTTGTAGTAGCTTCATAACAGGAACATTTTATTTAGACATACATAGACATTTCTCTTAGACTGAGCAGCAACTGCTAAGATTCAGTTTTCCTACCGTTTAAAACTTGGTGCTGTCTAGTAAACAATTTGCTGTCTTTTTTGCTGTTTGATGCTTCACTGGATAGTATTTCTGGTTTCTTCATATCAGTGTCTTTTGCAAACAAATTTTGCACTGCAGACTGCACTCCTGTGGAGTTGGAGGACAGAAATATAAATGACAGTAAATAATAAGAAGAGCAGTGCACCTTTTAACAAAAATAATACACTTTTTTTGTACAAATAATACCTTTTATATACGTAATCTCAATGCCACAAAAAAAAATTCTAAT